TATAGGTGTAAACTGAAAGCCCCGCCTACGTTTGATGCTGCTTTACACCCAATATATGTATATTTCCATTCAGCAACTCCATTTAGCCTTAATTTGCGCAATCCAGCATGTAATTATGCAGACTTGAGGAATTACGAAATCATACGCTGTATAGGTGTAAACTGTAAGCCCCGCCTACGTTTGATGCTGCTTTACACCCAATATATGTATATTTCCATTCAGCAACTCCATTTAGCCTTAATTTGCGCAATCCAGCATGTAATTATGCAGACTTGAGGAATTACGAAATCATACGCTGTATAGGTGTAAACTGTAAGCCCCGCCTACGTTTGATGCTGCTTTACACCCAATATATGTATATCCCCATTCAGCAACTCCATTTAGCCTTAATTTGCGCTTTTTCCAGCATGTAATTATGCAGACTTGAAGAATTACGAAATCATACGCTGTATAGGTGTGAACTGTAAGCCCCGCCCAATATATGTATATCCCCATTCAGCAACTCCATTTAGCCTTAATTTGCGCTTTTTCCAGCATGTAATTATGCAGACTTGAAGAATTACGAAATCATACGCTGTATAGGTGTAAACTGTAAGCCCCGCCCACTTCTGATGCTCCTGTATATCCATTACATGGATACTTCCTTCCACTGACTTCATTAGCTTTTATTTGGGCTTTCCAGCATGTAATTCTGCAGAATTGAGGAATTACGAAATCATACGCTGTATAGGTGTAAACTGTAAGCCCCGCCTACGTTTGATGCTGCTTTACACCCAATATATGTATATTTCCATTCAGCAACTCCATTTAGCCTTAATTTGCGCAATCCAGCATGTAATTATGCAGACTTGAGGAATTACGAAATCATACGCTGTATAGGTGTAAACTGTAAGCCCCGCCTACGTTTGATGCTGCTTTACACCCAATATATGTATATTTCCGTTCAGCAACTCCATTTAGCCTTAATTTGCGCTTTTTCCAGCATGTAATTATGCAGACTTGAGGAATTACGAAATCATACGCTGTATAGGTGTAAACTGTAAGCCCCGCCTACGTTTGATGCTGCTTTACACCCAATATATGTATATTTCCGTTCAGCAACTCCATTTAGCCTTAATTTGCGCTTTTTCCAGCATGTAATTATGCAGACTTGAAGAATTACGAAATCATACGCTGTATAGGTGTAAACTGTAAGCCCCGCCCAATATATGTATATTTCCATTCAGCAACTCCATTTAGCCTTAATTTGCGCTTTTTCCAGCATGTAATTATGCAGACTTGAAGAATTACGAAATCATACGCTGTATAGGTGTAAACTGTAAGCCCCGCCCACTTCTGATGCTCCTGTATATCCGTTACATGGATACTTCCTTCCACTGACTTCATTAGCTTTTATTTGGGCTTTCCAGCATGTAATTCTGCAGAATTGAGGAATTACGAAATTATACGCTGTATAGGTCTAAACTATAAGCCTCGCCCACTTCTGATGCTCCTATATATCCAATATTTGTATATTTCCTTCCGCTCACTTCATTTACGGTTTGAACAAGTTACACATTTTTGAAAAATTCAACTTCAACAACGAAGAGCTGTCTGTTGTTGGGTCATCGATCAATTACGGAGTGAGGGGTCGGCAAAAATTGCATCATGCATCCATTCAACCTATAACAGCTCATAAATCGCTTCAAAGTGAGGATCGCGGCTAAAAAACTTGCACAGCTTCTCCTACGATGGTTTGCTTACCTTACGCCAAAAATGATCCGAACATATCATTTTATCAACGATAAGTGATAAAATGATATTATCAATGAACAGCGGAGTTTTCACAGTTTTTTTCAAAGGAGTAAGCAAATGACGTTTCTAGAGCGTTCTAAGAACTTTCCAGGTTTTTCTAAATTGCTCATACATGCTTTTTCGAATTACGAAGATAAAATTTAATTTTTTATGAAAAATCATAACTCGCTTCAGCTTGATCTGATTTAGCTCAAACTTGAATCCCAAGTAAGGCTTTTGAACAAGCATCTAGCAAAATCTTAGTTGCTTAGCTACGCTTAGTCGCAAGATCCACGATGAGCGCCATCGCTCCCCATGTGTCCCATGGCCCCCAAAGAAGGCAATGGCACACAACACTTATCTACTGTACGCCATGGCACCCAAATGTGTGCGATGGCGCACATTGGGAGCGATGGCCCCCAAACACATCACGTGCGTATACATACACATACACGCATACACACCAGTGGCGGTCCGAGGGGGGGGGGGGCGCCCACCCCCCCTCGAGAATGGGTCGCGAAATTTTTGAGGCTTACTTATATGGGTTATAAAAATGTGCAAACGACTTGTTTATTTTTGTAAATAATCAAAATAATTTTTAAAATTTTTTTAAAAGTTCAAAGCCCCTTTTTTACAGATTTTAGGGGTTGGGGACCCACAAAAATTTTGAGAAGTACCCCTAAAATTTTTTCGGAATGCGTGACTAACGCCACGCACCTTCATTTGAAAAAATTTCCCCCCCCCCCGGTCCGAAATCCTGGGACCGCCAGTGATACACACATATACACATATACACGTACACACATACACATACACGCATCATATATATACACACATACACAAATTCAGATAATCGAATATCGCAAAAGATAATCGCAGGGAGGAGGCGGCCATACGATTTATGGGCAAGCCGGCATCGGCAAAATAGTTCGCTGATTTCTTGCGGTCCGCTTGCAAATTTGGAAGATTTTTGGCTAAATTTTAGACGAATGCTTGGAGAACAATCGCAGTTTTCCTATGGATTAATTGTGGCGGTGGCCGCACTCTCGCAGACATTCCGCGAAAATATGCAAAAATATTTGGGGCCGCACGTCTTTTGTGAAAACCGCGCAGCCTGTAGATATTTTCCGTTGAGAAAAGGTACCTCAAACTCGGGTAATTGAACCGTCGATGACACCTCTGCCATATAGAGTCTCACCTTTGCTCGCCGTGAGCCCGAAACTGCATGAAAGGGGTCTGCGCGCCCGCTGAAAGTTTGACGAGCGCTCGCAGAAAATGTCTTATTGCTGCCCGCTTGCAGAACACGGAAGTACCGCATTCTGAAAGCTTGGCCAGACCCCAAAATTTTGCTGACCGCTTGCAGAAAAGCGAGAGTTTGCGGACCGCCTGCCCCTGACGATTATACCTGAGTTATAAGTAACCAGTGCGTCACCTCTGCTTCGCAGAGGCTCGCACTGGCCCTACTATCCATGTGCCTCAATACTTTCCCATAATGATGGCACTGAAACTCACCGCGCAGTAGCCGACTACCAGGAATTGGATGTAGACAACCACTCATTTTAACAGCTTTTTCATGTGAGATCGGTGATTTCGAGAGGACGGAACTTTTCGCAGAAGAACAAATGCAAATTTGAGTGGGTTTCCGGATTTCTTATGGTTTGGTAGTTGCCATAAGGTCAATAGCCACCGTGAGCAACACTTCTGCGCAAAAATCTTCTCAAATGCGCCAGTAGAACGTTTTCAAATTGACCATTTACGCAACCAATCCATTTTGGCGTCTCGCAAAGTAGTAGATTCTTGCCCATTATTTGAGCTAGTGTCCAAGGCTTGCACATTTGCTTACCAAACTCATCCACGACTCTGCAAAAAGTGGTGATACGGACCCAATTTTGTGGGTCGGAAGCGAAGTGGACCCGTTTGGCAATTTCTGAGGGATCCACTCAACGAATCCGCTCATGCTTTTGCATGGTGGAGTTTTGTGTTGGTAGCATGTGCTGTGCAAAATTTGGGCCCAGGACGTTTGTTGGAACGCGCTCCACGAATTTCGCAACAGACAGACACACACAACACACACACACACACACACACACACACACACACACACACACACACAAAGTCACGTAAACATCCTTAGCCCGTTATTATAAGTCATGATGATTAGAAAACAAATGAACATAACTTAGTGTCCTTTTCTACTCCCTTTCCAAGAAGAATTGCTTAAATAAGAGATCTGTGTTATTGGAGGAGTATATGTCGCCGAAAAGAGGTGATCCCACGCGAACATCTGCACCAGACCACGGAGCCATGAATGCTACAGACAGTACATTAGTACCAGCTGTCCGCTCGGGGTGGAACTTATCGGCGATTCAACCCCTCACCCAATAATATTTAATAGACATCTTGGGCTAAGTCTCCTTCTTCGTCAGCCTTGCCGCAGATCGCCGCGTCCTGCTGGCAGGGAGAAACAAACTCCATCGAATCTGTTTGCTCGGTTAGAATATGATGAGCCTCTACTTTCTTCGATGCACAGACTCCAATAACCACGAAAGGTAGCCTGTGACAAGTCTGGGTTGGAAACGTAGTAATACAGGGTGCCTGAACCGGTGTGCACTATCTTGATTGTGAATAATCGTGAAAACTTCGAGATAGGTCTTTGGCCTCGAGGGCCATATTTAGCTTCAGAAAGGAAACCAAACAATTTATGAACATCCACACCAGGCTAATAAGAGTCGCTGACTTTGAATATGAGATTTGCACTTTACCGCACAAGTTTGTTCATAAGTTATAACAGGTATATCGTGGCAAAGTTTTTATTTATATGCTGATCAGACATCCGGTATATATCTTGAAATATTTTCAGATTTTGGAGAAGCTGTGCTGTGAAACCAGAGGAGAAAGCTCTGCTACACATCTTTAGAGATTTTTTGGAAGAAAAATTTTACAAAGCTTTAATTCACAATGGTGCACATTGCTGGGATCTACCGTAATCCTACAGTAACGGACAATCCCTGCGTACTGTTAGTCCCAGTTTCTCTACAGAATGGTATTTGAAGTTCGGTGGAAGACTTAGTTTAGAGAGATTTTGATGACGCTCCATGATTTTGAGACGCCTTGTATTGAAACACTTTTATCATATAAACGATTTTTGAGTTTTATAGAAACGCATTCGTAGTACATAACATATTTTAGTGATAGTATCGTGATAAAGTTCAATAAAAAATGTTTATTTAAGCCAGTATCCGTAAAGCAATATATAACATCAAACCCTGTAACATGCTGAGATTTGATAATCCACTTGTAGTTGGTGTTACTGTATACTCAGTTATAGGAGGAGCACTTTGCACACTAGTGAGAATATTTGCTGGCGATGTTCCAGAACTTGTGGCTGCAGTCGTGTCCCCTGCTTTGGGAGTGCCGACGCTGTGCGGCTTGGGTGTACTTTCGTCTACGGTAACTGCACTTGCTGTGGATTGGGTAGTGATGGGAGTGGTTGTCGTTGTGGGGATAGGAGTGGTTGTTGGTTGGGTAATGTTGAGTGGAGTACTGTAGTCGGCTCTATTGATCCAGTTGTAGATCATTTGAAGAGCTTGCATTGGCCGATCCAATGGTACAAAATGCCTGGAGCCCTAAGTAATGCACAACGATAGATTTATTGTATGTTGGTTTAGCGTCAAGTTTCTGCGTTTCCAGCAAGTTCATACTAAATTAACGGTAATACCTACCTTTACGGTTAGTACATCAATATCTTTCGCATATTTCCTAGCAAAACCACCCAATGTTGGGTAGTTATCCGGATCAGTTTGGTATATCCACGGTTCTCGTGTTGGTAACTGCAACAGCTACATTAGCGAACGCTTAATAGAAAGAGTTCCTTAAACTTACAGGTAAACCAAGATTGCCTGCAAAATATTCGGTGGTATACCATTCTGCACCCATCCAATTGCATATAGTGTCAACATCTCTACTACAGAGCAATATCGTGAAATTGCTGGCGTTGTAATAGGGGCTGAAGGTTTTTTTTTTGAAGTTTGACAGTCAACCGTTCAAGGGAAAAAACCTATTAATAATGTAGTCGAATGAAGGTGCAGCAGATGGATTGGTCTGATTGTAGACAGCAATGATGCCGCTGAAATCGATTAGATTGGTTGCATGGGACAGCAACGCCCCTTCCCCTACTCGCCCCCTTTACTTACTCCAAATATGTAGGTAGTAGAATTCTAGTTTTCCAATGATAATACACCATCGTTCTGAATGTTTGTAATGATAATCGAATTAAACTTATAAGTTGGTTTTAGTGGTGTGTATCGGAATTATTTCGATTTATAAAAAATTTTGTGAGCTCTGTCAAAATCCTTGTTTGATTGAGAGGTGTGTGTCGCGGATTCGCGACTTCCTGTAAAGGAGGCCGCCGCCGCGGTGCGAAGGGGTCCTGAAACGCCGTCCTCGCGCTGTCCCGCCTCTCACCTCTCTTACCTGAGCAGCTTTCGCATAAGTCACGTACTCAGTCTTCGCAGCTGCCGTCACAGTGAGCGGTCGGGTTCCAATCGTCTCTCGTCATCGATCGATCCAGCGCCACCCCAACTTACGCGTCAATTCCAACTACGCCACGGAGGACTGGCACCCCGCGCTACGAGGTAACCCCGAGCGCGCTCGCGCCTGGCACATGCCGGCGACACCGCCTCGGGGGGTTTTCGATACTGCTGGCCCCTAGGGATGTTAAGATCTTGGCTGGTTGTGCTCCACCCCATTGTGTTTGAGTTTAGGGATTAATTGTGGATAAATGGTGGGCATTTGTGTGATTTGTTTGGTGCGGTGAGCCACAGCTCGGCTGTGGCTCCGGGGATACCTCATGTCATCATTATTGTTGTGTATTTATAATCACGCCTAGTAAAATCCATCTATCAAGGCTGGCACAATACTAGTTACGTGCCATGGTTATATATACATGCCCCAACTGTCGATAGTTGGGAGGATAGTTTGTATCGCAAGTGCCGAGTAACTGCTGAGCAGGCTGGTGGCAAGGGCCACTATGTGTGTATGGAGTTCCCATGTGGCAGGCACAAGCATCGTTGCACAGGTATGCCACCACAACAGTCGTTTCACCCTTTCACGGAAGGGACCCCTGGCTCCCCTCGCCGATGCAGGAGAGCCGTTGTACCACTGACGTTGGGAGCTGGGGGCCCAATCCGCGACATGGTGCATCGTACCGGAGTTGAGCATAGGGATAGCAAACCTATGTTCAGCTTTTGTGATCGAGCCTCACCTGTGTAGTCCACATGTGCACGCTTTGCACATTAGTGTCCCTAGCCAGCAGTGCAAATTTTATCACATTTCCCCATTTCACATGTTTGCGCAGTGTATACATGCTGGTTGTACCTTGTGGCTCCTTGGAGAACTCATCTCTCGTCTCATCAGCAAGTTCTGACGCGACTAGGTTGACGCAGTACGCGACTACCCACAGTTCCACTATCGGGGGTAGGGTGATCCCGTAGACCTGGATGGCAGCAGCAATCTACGCCCTTCCTACTGCCCGGAACTGTCTGGTGCCTTCTGACGGCCAGGTTTCTCTGCAGCTATGGAGATCCCAGGTAGAGAGTCTCTGTCTGCCCTGAAACACGCCATCATTCTTGGTGGCCGGGTTTCTCTGCAGCCATCGAGATCCCTGGTAGATAGCTCTGTCTGCCCTGAAACACGCTATCAGGCTGCGAAAGAGCGCTTGTGTTGCGTTAGATGAGAGTCTCACCCCCAAATTTATTTTTCTCCCACATGCTCGCATTGCGCATTCATCCCTTCTCTCCTTTTTTCTTTCGCAACTTTTGGCTAGGCTTGGCTAGTTTACTCCTCCTTGCGATCGATACTGCTCCTCATTATCGGCACTCAGTTCCCCATAGTCACATCTAGGAGTTTCAGTCGTTGTTTGTTGCTCATCGTTTCATTCATTTCACTCGTGTATTATGTTCACCATTTGTGTGACTACGTCGCGAAGTAGTCACACCCCCATCAAACACACTTATGGCGTACATTTTCAGAATTTGGGTCTGCAGTTATTACCTCCTGCAAGCTACCGAGTTAGCGCACAATCGATCGATATGACTACCGCAGAATCCTACATCCCCAAGGTCGTCAAAGCCATCGAGGACCTGGAAGCGATTAGGACACAGGTAAGTTCCGACTTGCTTACCCCGTATATGTCTGACGCCCCAGTTGCGGAGCAACTCCATCAGCTCCAGCTCCGTCAGACAGCCACACAGCTTCACATAGTGAGTCTGAGATCGGCACTTTTGCTTTTGCATGAACGTCGCGATGTACTTTTGTACCACATTACCATCTCCAGTTCGCCGACGGATCAGCAAGCGTACAGCAGGTTCGAAGAAGAGCATAGCGTGGATCAACATCTGGCCGACGCTGAAGCACTTCTTCGCACGTTGCAGAGTACGCAGGAAGCGGATAGTGAACAAGTCCAGTCTCTTCGTATCCATCGACTTGCTAATTCCATTAGTGAAGACGCCACTACGGGGACGACAGGAACAGTGACGACGCCACAGCGACATGATCGCACAGATAACGCCCCACGTCCACAGATTGTGGACCCACAGTTGGACGCTGTGCAGCAGTTGGAACATCTTCAGCTCACGCCCGCACATTCTGCCCCATCGTCGCACAACGTACCGATCCATCTGGAGAAGTTAACGTTGCCGCAGTTCGATGGAGATGTCATCAAGTTCCAGCAGTTTTGGTGTCCGTTCGAGCTAGCCGTTCACAACGATCCCAACATCGACCTCAATATGAAGTACCTCTACCTGCAGAATTTGCTGAAGGGAGATGCTCGTGTGGTACTGCAGGATCTTGAACCAGGACGGAACAACTACTATCAGTTGGTGCAGGCATTGAAGAAGCGATACGATTGCCCGAGGAGGACCAGAGCGCTACTCCATCAGCAGCTCCGAGATCTTCAGCCCGCAACCGAATCAGCTTCGGATATGCGAAACACTTGGTTCCGGATTCAGGGAATCCTCCATGCCCTCAAGCGCTTCGAGGATCTGAATCGTGCCCTTTATATTATCGATCTCGTACGGACTAAGTTCCCCCTGTCGATCCAGGAGCGACTTAACAACGTCGAGTTCGAGAAACGAGCCGACTTTGATCTTCGACAAGTCATGTCTCACCTCGATGACCTTATTCAGTCAAGGGAGAGGTTCGAGCAGACTTGCTCCCGCAGTAGTACTTACGTCATCAATAGAGATATTTCCCCAGGGCGTCAGCCAACGTCTTCCCCAAGATCACTTTATGATCCAGCCGCATGTTGTTTCTGCGATTCCTTTGCACACTCCTCTCGTGGATGCAACCAACAGCTCCCAGTCAACGTTCGCCGTAAGATCGTGCAGCTTCTGGGATTATGTTGGAAGTGTCTTCGTGAAGGACATCGCCAAGATCAGTGCAATTATCCTATCTGCAGGAATTGCAGAGGCTACCACCATCGACTGCTCTGTAGGTTTGCACCAAGGAGAAGCCGATCCCCAAGGACCAGGTCACCCCATGGATCACGACCCGCTACGAGAAGTCGCCAATCCTCTAAGACTATTCTCCTTCGAGAAGTCCAGCACGGGACAGCAGGAGATCCCGAGATCGTTCTCGTGATCGTGCTTATAGGCCCCGCGAACAGAGAGGATATCGCAGCAGATCGAGTTCCAGTTCTCACTCTCGGGAACGTGAGTCATCCCGATCCTCATCTCCACGTGTACGTTTTGATGTACCCGTCAGAGAGTCATCCCCCACGAATCGACGATATCGATCCCCATCATCACCGGAACGACGCAGAGGACGAAGATCAGGATCGCCATATCCTGAGGAGGCAAGGACGAATGATCAGCTGTTGGTACAGTCCGATACGGAGTATGAGGACTATCACCAGTGTTATCTACGTCTGCAGCTTCATTCGCACAATCCCCAGCTTCACCCAGCTTTGATGCTGGTGAAAGCCAAAGCTCGCACTGCCTTAGGAGATCTCCAGGATATGACCCTTTTGCTCGATTCCGGCGCACAGACCAGCTTTATCACCACATCCGCAGTCAAACGACTAGGTCTTCATGTCTATGACCATCAGCCGATTACGTTAACGGCTTTTGGAGGACATCAGACCACGGAAGTTTCTGGTAAAGCTGATCTCACACTTATCGATTTATTCGATAAGCAACTCACAGTCTTTGTACGCACCAAAGACAAGCTCACAAGCCCCACTACCTCACCAGAATTGTCTAAGGAAGATATCGATTTCATTCGTCAGTTTGGATTCGATCTTCCGACTTACCATAAGGATGTATCGGTCAACGTCGACGTCCTTATAGGTATTGACCATTTCTGGGATATTATCACACAAGGATCTTCTGTATGCCTACCGTCAGGATTAGTTCTGACCCACACACGATTTGGTACCGTTGTCTCAGGTTCATCTTTTTTTCGCAGGTTCATCCCGTCTCAACATCCACCGGGATGGAGCAGTGGCGAGAAGACGATGAAGACGAGGACATCGTCGCCAGATTGTGGCAATTAGAACGTTTAGGTATTACAGATCAGCCCCACGATGACGAAAACGCCATCGCCAATTCCCATACCCTCAAGCATTTCGAGGATACCGCATGTTTCGAGAATGGGTTTCTCTACGTGCAGTTTCCTTGGAAGGAATCACATCCCCAGCTGGCCGACAATAAGCAGTTAGCTTATTGCCGATTAGTCAGTCAATATCGCAGTCTACAGGAAAGACCATCTGTATGGAGGAGCTACTGTGCAGCCATCGCACAACATCTGGAGTCAGGCTTCATAGAGGAAGTTAGTGAGCAGGTTGACGATAGTCATCTTGTTTACTATATTCCCCACCAAGCTGTCTTCAAGGAATCATCGGCTACTACTAAGCTAAGAGTAGTTTTCGATGCCTCATCCCACATGCGAGGAGTTCCCAGTTTGAATGACTGCCTCTATGAAGGACCATCTCTTTTGCCAGAGATAGCAGGAATTCAGCTTCGAGCTCGGTTGCACAAGTATCTTCTGATCGCTGATGTAGAAATTTCCATCAGGTTCGACTGCAGGTTTCTCAGCGAGATGTGACACGTTTCCTGTGGCTGAAGGATGTTAATCGACCTCCTGACAAGGACAACTTACGTCATTTCCGCTTTACGAGAATCCCATTTGGAATCAAATCCTCCCCATTTATACTAGCCGCATCTATTCGCATTTATTTGCACCGCATTAATACCCCACTTTGTCGAGAAATCGAAAGGAACACATATGTGGACAACGTTGTTCTAGGTGCTTCTACACAGGACGAAGCCGTGCAGAAGTATAGATCAGCCAAGTCCATATTTGACCACATGCACATGAATTTGAGAGAATTTTTGTGCTCCTCAAACATAGTCAATCGCAAGATAGACCCACAAGACCGCATCAAAGAACCGGAACACACGAAACTATTGGGAATTCCATGGACACCTGATCCGGATGTGCTTACCATCCCGATCAAGACCATAGAACATCCAGTAGTCTCGAAACGTACTGCTCTCAAAGCTTATGCTTCCACATATGACCCCCTAGGTCTTCTCACTCCCTTTACGGTTCCCTTTAAGTTATTCATACAAGATTTGTGGTTGAAGAAGCTTAAATGGGACGATAGATTGGGTGAAGAAACCCTCAAAGAGTGGCGACGCCTTTGTCAAGATGCACAATACCCGTTACCACCCTTCCCCAGACGAGTTATCCCACGATCTATACCCCTCACATGTACATTCGAACTATGCGTCTTTGGAGATGTATCCAAACGAGTGTACGCCGCATGCGCATATTTGGTAAGTCGCGTTCACGACATTACTACCTCACACCTCGTTATGGCCAGATCACACCTTAACGAGCCCGCAAAGCCCATGACTATCCCCAGAATGGAATTAATGGCAGCCAGGAATTCCATCAAATTAGCCCAATACCTCCACAAAGAGTTAGATCTTCCACTTTCCACAATTCACATTTTTTCAGACTCCCAAATCGTGCTTCATTGGATTCATTCCACCAGGCCATTGAAGCAGTTTGTCCATAACAGGGTAAGTTTCATTCGCAAGATCGTTAAGGAACTTCAGGATTCCGGTACCGATGTCAAGTTCCACTATGTTGCTTCGGAAGACAATCCCGCGGACTATGCGACGCGCGGATTGACGACGAAGGAAGCAGTGGATCATGTTTGGTGGACAGGACCATCGTTCATCCTTCGGTTACCTGAGTACTGGCCCGACAAAGACATGGACTTTACGACCCTGCCCACGACAACACCGGAGCAGGACAAGGAGTTTGTACAGGTAGGTTTGGTTAGAGGAGATTCACATGTGTCAGTCATCCCATTTTACGTCACGAACAGTTATACGAAACTTCTTCGTATTACCGTTTACGTCCTCAGATTTTTGCGCCGCAAGTTTCTTGGCCCCAAAGTGTCCGCGCATAGACATCATCTCTATAGGGCAACCCCCATTCTTTCTCAAATTTCCTCTGCCGGTAACATCACGGCCCAGGACATTGCCTTAGCAGAGATTTTGCTTATTCGCGAACATTATCGAGAGTCTGCCCATCTGTTAGAACGTTTTCGCCTCGAGCGTTTCAAAGCACATAGAGACGAAAACGGGCTTATCAGATGTCCAGCCCGCATGGAGAAAATCCACCCCATAGCACCCATTTTGTTGGTGCCCTCACATAGACTCACATCCCTCATCACACTTCACATCCATTTCGCATCGTATCATCAAGGAGTCTATGGGACTATTGCCCAGCTGTCACAGCGCTTCTTCGTACCCTCCACACGTCGTATGGTAGATCGCATTCTTCGCACATGTACCGTTTGTAAGAAAGCCAGTGGTCCAGCCTATCGTTATCCGGACATGCCCAGCTTGCCCGAGGAACGAGTCGTAAGATCCAGACCGTAAAATTAATTTTAAATTTTAAATAAATAAATAATTTTACCCCACGAGACCATCGAATCAATAACGATGAAATTTTTTTTTGCTTCAAGAAGTTCTGAGGATTTGAGAGTGACCATTTCTTACATAAAGAGATGGAGTGCATTATTTAATTTGTTCTACTTTTTCAACGCCGGAAAGCGGAAGCAACTTCCCGTTCATCGAAAAAAAATTCCGAGCTACACTTTTTTTTTACAACAGAAGTCCTCCAGTAAGCGAACGAAGATTTTTCATGACGTCAAACTGTGGCAGACAATCGTGATGTTTGCGTTGAAATTCTTCTGGTTCAAAAATTATTGAAAGTCTTGTTCAAATAAGTGTTGTAGCACAACTCTCTAACTCTCACAGCGTTCCTTTTTTAAGAAACTACCCGCGCAGCTGTTGTAAGAAGGGTAAATTGCATTGAGAGAGAAAAAAAACCGGAGAGAGAAACATACATTTTGAGGAATGATTACTATAATCAACTCAAAGTCTTCAAAACTTTGGGATTGTTAAATGCTTGAAACGGTATGGATAGATGCTTGGGATTAGCATAGAAGTCATGACATAGGCGTAGATTAGAGAAATTAACTTCTAGAGTGTCTTACCCGTCAGCAATCCATTTCGAAGCCGCCGCTGGAATATTTAAAGCACTTCTCACGGAATCGAGATTCAGATAATTACTAAGAGCATCACTCATGTAGCAGTAGTAGCCCATATATGGATCAGATGAGTCGTAGTTGTTCCCAGTCTGAAAAATGCTTTTTTGAAACACAAGGACATCTGTCACAAATTCACGTGCTCTAAATATATTACCCATGTGTCTCCCACGAAAGTAGTTTGATTGGTAGTTTTCAGCGTATAGCATTGCCGATAAAGGTTGTAAGGATCAAATTCCCTCAGCAAGATATCGACTCCTTATTTGATCATCTGCAAACTTCATCTTAGTATCTAGGTTATTATTTAGGGGGACAACTGACATAAACATAACAGAGATCGTCCGGATTACCACCCAAAATCATTCCATTCCATGATGTAATATGAGAATCTAAATGACAGTCCAACTCATCTGTCACATTCTTACCAAAGCGATATCATTGTTGTGTAATTATTGCAACGAATCGAATCACATAATGGGCGACAACTACCACAAATCCCTACTCATATGTCAGTTGTCCATGGTAGTACGAGAGGTGGAATAAGGAATTCATGTCATGTACTTTACTCAGCACTCCATTTCCTATAGCTAGGCCCTACAAACAGATTTTTGTATGTACAGATTTTTATAAATCCAAAATCACCTTGTAGTTTATGTCTAGCGTTCCGTTTTGGATTCCTTGTACTGATAAAGCAGAAAGGGCTGGGATGTAAACCCCAGCGTAGGATTCACCAGTGGTATAAAAGGATCGAGTACGGTATTCCGGATAGAGACTGAAGAAATCCACCAAAACTGCATAGTTTTCCGTACTAGTCTCAAGGATAAATTATGAGGATAAGAAATGGACCAATCACAGAGAGCGCCTGTCACGCCCACGCATGGAATTGGCTGGTACTATTGAAGTCACCAACTCGTCTGAATATTGTGGCAATACACCATCTGTTGAGTGCGAGTAGCCAACACCTACCGGCGATTCCAAATACAGTACATTAGCAAACTGTAATTACCGTAAATCTTCTTTACAATGATATTTAACTTGACCCACCTTATTCCACGGATGAGGGTTGCTTGTCACGGTTATGCCGTCTTTCCCAATACTGAATGGTCCATTTTCCAAAAATAAGGGGCTTCCAAGGGGCTTGATCCTGGTCCACCATTGAGCCATATAAGCAGCGGTGCAGTGGCTGGGTCCACAAGCTCTGATTCCACAAGCCTGAATCTCATATTTTCTACTAATCGATAAGTCGACTTTATCAAAATCAGTAGTGCAGCATATGTGTGTCAGATCCCCTGAGGAATCCTGAATACTGCTTGAAGGGTAAGCTCCAATCCAAACCAGGCATTGATACGATTCGATCGCTTTCCTGCAACGATAACCTGGAGTGTCAAAATTGTGCAGACGACCAATCACGAAATAGCAAAGCCTCGCTCGTGATTGAAAGGCAAGTTCAATGGAATAACTCACTTTGCGCGTGCAATTAGGAGGTGGAGACACTGGAGTAGAAATTGTAGGCTGCGGAGTTGTGTCAACCTAAAACTTGACGAAAGTTCCAATGTTACAAATATAACAATACAACAAAAAGTAATACATGTATTTTTGCGAGTATGTAAAAATGAAGCTTACATCAAAAATAGGTGTACTGTAATTGTAGTTGTTCCTCAAGAAATTGACGAGCATATGAAGTGTTTGCGCGGGTCGATCCATGGGTACGAAATGACCCGAACCCTAAAAAAGTATTGGAACGACTGCATTTTATTTATTTATTTATTATCCTTGCATTTTCCCAATGAAAGAAAAAAGTTTTTTTTCTATTCGGGGTCTGCTGCTCTTGTGAGTCTCTTCCACAGCTTGCAATTCAAAGCTTGTTCTTCTTCTAGCTTGAGCTCTCTTAGATCCGCTTTAATTTTATCTAACCATCTCAGTTTCGGTCTTCCTTTGGTCTCTTTCCCGATATATCTACTGACGTGCTCGATCTGGTAATGTGGTCTTCTTCACTTCTTTTCACATGGCCGTACCATTGAAGTCGTCTCTCCTGCAATTTTTTGACAACTGGGGCGACTTTCATCATGGCTCGTACGGTGTCATTTGTGACATGGTCCATCATTGTGATGCCTAGAGTCCATCGCAGCATTTTTGTTTCCATCGTACTAAGCTTTCGCTCTTCGTTGTGCGTGATAGGCCAACATTCGCAGCCGTACATCGCAGTCGGTCGGATCATCGTACGATAGATTTGCGATTTTAGGTATATTGGCATCCGCTTGTCACACATAATTCCTGTGAGGTCTCTCCACTTCAACCAAGCTGCGTTTATTCTGTCGCATATCTCGTCTTCTAGCGTGCCATCCGCAGAAATGCGACTTCCTAAGTATTTGAAAGAGGTAGTCTTCTTTATCAGAGTGTTTCCCATTTTAATAGTTCCAGGCGTTTGAAAACCCACTTCCATGTATTCCGTCTTCAGAATGTTCACCTTGAAACCATGTCGTTCAAGCTGGGTTTTCCACATCTGTACGTCCCTCTCCAGCTCCTTCCTGCTTCTTGCCATCAGGAGCACATCATCAGCGTATATGAGTGCCCATGGGGGATGACTTATAAAATTTGTAACTATCGCGTCAACAACAATTATAAAGAGGAGGGGTGAGAGGACGGATCCTTGATGTACGCCAATGTTTATGTGGAAATCCTCTGATCGTCCTGCTGCTGTCTCTACATAGCTGGTTGCACCTTGATAGATCATTCTTACCCACCGAACATATTCCTCTGGCACTATGTGCTTCTGTAGGGCCCACCATATCATGTTATGTGGCACCTTGTCAAATGCTTTCTCTAAATCCAGGAATGCAGCATGTAATTCACATTGTTTTTCTCGACATCTTTCCATAAGTGTTCTAACGATGTGAATTGCATCAGTTGTGCCGCAGCCTTTCAAAAATCCGCATTGATTGGGTGCAAGCTCCACTATATCTCGAAGTCGTGTCTCCAATATTCTTTCGAATATTTTCAACGTGTGACTAATGAGACGGATGGGCCGATACGTGGAGCAGTCGACTATGTCGCCTTTATTTTTCCATATTGGTATCGTTATACTTTTATACCAGTCGCTAGGCATTTTCTTGATTCTCACTATTTGGTTTAGTAGTCGCGTTAGCCACGAAATTCCATTTTGTCCACACTTCTTCCAGAATTCGTTGGAGACATCGTCTGGGCCTGTCGCTTTGCCGTTCTTTGTCTTCGAAATAGCGACGCGGACTTCATCTTCTGTAATGGCTGGCACTGGTCCGTGAACTGGTTCAGCTTTTATGGTAGATGTACATTCGCAGCTCGCGGACGCTAACTCTGCAAAATGTGCTCGCCATCTTTTATTTATATCTTCTGGTCCTTTTAACATCCTCCCCTGTTCGTCTCTAATACTGTAGAAGTGCTCTATGTCTTTCATGGCGTCAGTCCTTCTTCGGGCCAAACGGTAGATTTCACGTACACCTTCGGAAGTATGCAATTTTCTGTACAACTCCGTTACATACGTTTCTTTCGCTTCCCTTACTCTCTTTTTTGTTGTACGTTTCGCTTCTAGATACTTCCGATGAGCATCTTCTGTCCTTGTTCTTTGCCATACTCTAAAAGCTGATTTCTTATTTCTTATCACAAGCTGAATCTCTTCGTTCCACCACCATGTTTCTTTGTTGAGTCTAGGTCTTCCTGGTTTCGTGCGCCCTAGTATATCTCCAATTACCTGATAAACATTCTTCTTTAGATTCGCCCAGGTCTGTTCTACATCTTCTTCTAACTCAGGTAGAGTAGATTCTAATGCAACTGTGGCGCTATGGTCTTCTTTGAGCTTCCACCATTTGATGTGCTCTCTTTGCTCTGTCGTTTTCCATCTTTGCCTGTCGGATGGAACATTTAAATCCAGTAAAAGTGGCTTATGCTGCGGTATGCATTCTTCACCTGGAATGACCTTGCTGTTCTTCACATACTTGAGTTCACTCTGCCTTACTGCCCAAAAGTCTATTTGTGACTTTCTGCCTCCACTGACATACGTAATCAAATGACTGTCTTTCTTTATGAAATAAGTATTTGCCAGCGCTAAGTTATGAGCTGTAGCAAACTCAAGAATGCGTTCACCATCTTCATTTCGTACTCCGTATCCATGGTCTCCATGACATTTTTCTGTGCCACTCCTTTGCTTTCCGACATGGCCGTTGAGATCTGCTCCAAGCAGGAGCATCTCTTCTGATGGTAAAGATCGAATATAATCATCGAGTTTATGCCAGAACACATTCTTTTCAACCTCACCGCAACCGGTTTGTGGTGCGTAGGCAGTTACTACTCGTAAAATCTGCTTCCCATTTTCAATCCTGATGCTCATAAGGCGGTCACTTACTCTATCAACGTTAGTTATTTTCTTTCTCAGTCTTTCGCAGACAACTATCCCTACGCCGTTTCTGCCATTACTTACGTTGTATAGGAGCTTGAATCCGTCTCCTATATCGCGCGACTTTTGCCCTTTCCATCTGGTTTCTTGAATGCAGGCGACATCCACTCTGCGTCTCTTAAGAAGATCTGCCAGTTCGCGGTGTCGCGCCGTCAAAGATCCTACGTTGATGGTTGCATGTCGAAGCGATTCTGAGAACTTTTGTCGTTGCTTGTACCTATGATTGTCGTTGCTTGTACCTATGATGAGCCAAGTTTTTTGACCATCTCCTTTTCGCTCGTTGAGACAAAAGCTCTCGCTCTTTGTTTATGTTCGTTAGGCTCAATTTCTCGTCGCTTTCGGGGAACGCCCTAGCTGTAAGTCTTTGATCTCGCTGAGACATAAAAGAGCATACCAATCGATGCGACGATTCGTCTTCTTCAGCCGGCTTGTCGCTTGCTTCCCTGTGGGTAAGCAGCCTGACGCTGGGAACAACCACTCACGATGGTCGAAGAATGGTGAGTCGGAAATTGGAACGACTGCATTATTATAGAAAAATCTTCTCGCTTACCTTGACTGTCAGCTGTACAACATTTTCGGACCATGCTTTCACATAACCAGCAATTGTTGGCATAAACTGTGACGCTTGTTGATAGTCCATGGTTGCCTTTCATATAACGTCTGAACATTAATGGTGAAATAAGTTCCGCGTACAAAAAAACAATTAAAAAGGAGCTCTCCGGATTTTATGGAGTTTAGAGACGTAAAGAAGCCCGCCAAAAAAAACATAGAACACAAGACAGCGCTTAGAAATTTGACATTAGTAGTAAGCACATTTTTCGATAACTACCACTTTTTGGTAGAATTATCAAACATTCATTTCCACTCCTTCACAATTCATTCTTTCACACACTGGTAACTAATCAAACCTTGCTTGAAATAGAACATGACAAAATATTTACTAAACAAAAAATGGTGTATAAGATATTTGAGAATTTTGTTGATCTAGTAAGTAATTCATGTAAAAATTAAAGGCAGCGGCTCGGCAGAATGACAAATTTGGGATATTCATCGTTCTCGGTTCCCTTGGATGAGCTAAATCCAAGACTGTGCTTTGCAGCTCTAAAAAATATCAATAACCCGCTTTTCCAGAAATGAAAAGTGTTATTTGGGCAGACCGCGTAAATAAGCATGTAGCCTGTAAATTTTCAAAAAAAGTCAAAAATTCTCCGTATATGCCCTAAGGAAGCATCTTTCCAGGGCTACTTTGATTTCGCATACTCTATGCTTTTTTACAATATATTCAATTAATTGAACTTAAAATATTAGGTTGGCACGAAAGTTCGTTCGCATCATTTTCGAAAATTCATAACTCTTTAAGCTCTTAACGAATTTGTACGACCAAAATTTTACTTAAAAGAGGTCATGCCCTTTGCATCTGTACCTGAATTGTTCGTTAATGTGCACAAATGAAGGAAATAGAAGCTCAAAACTAAAATCACTCAAATTTTGAATTTTTCGTGTAGGATGGTGTAGGTCTCCGATGGTCATAAACCATCGGAGACCTTGCGATAAGAATCGGAGCAGTCGTTATTATGGGTTCTATTACTAGCTCTTTCTAATAGTGCAAAGTTTGCGCCGATTAAGCGTCTCTTTGAAAAGTTACGATTTCCCTGAAAAATGCCAAATCAAATCAAATTCGCCCTTTTGTATTGCTTGCTCGAAAATCATAACTTTTCATAGAGACAATCAATCGGCGCAAACTTTGCACTGTTGAAAAGAGCTTGTGAAAAAACCTACATTACCGACTGCTCCGATTTCTACTGCAAGTCTCCGATTTTTTATGACCCTACACGAAAAGTTCAGATTCTGAGTGATTTTGGTTCTGAGCTTTTAGCTCCTTCATTTGTACCATTAACGAACAATTCAGGAACAGATTCAAAGGGCATGAGTTCCTCTTTTAAGTAAAATTTTGGTCGTACAAATTCGTTAAGAGTATAAAGAGTTATGAATTTTTGAAAATGGTGCGAACGAACTTTCGTGCCAACCTAATATCATTTGATTAGATTTTCAGACAAAGAGATGTTGCTTGAAAAATAACACATATGGACAACCTTTGAGACTTGTGCGATTCCCACAAGTCTCAAAGGTTGCCACATATTTTCGAGTGGAGAGGAGGGGGGTTAACTGCCAAAAATTTTGAGGATATTGGAATGCTGCTTTAAAATCACTGGTCAGGTTATAGTTATGATTAAGCTTAACGCCTGCCAACTTCCTACTGTATCCGGAATGTGAAGCGCGCTTCACACTTCTGGTTGATTCATGTGTACGGTACCGCTTGATCACACCAACGGAAAACCATTCAAGAAGTCGGTTGAGATGCGATTGATGTACTATAGAAAACATAATTACAATACCGCTCACATTTTTTGAAAAAAAGACGCGAATGTATGGACATGTCCATACATGTACGGACATGTCCGTACATGTCCGTACATGTCCATACATGTATGGACATGTCCATACATCAGCGTCGCGTGGCCATATCTCGCTTCAGAGTGGACGAATTCTGAATCCAAAGCCACCATTCGATTCAGCTTGGCGCGGAGAATCTTTTGATATACTGGAGGTGGGGGTACGACGTCTTCGATATTCCGTTTCCAGTTTTTTCAATTTGTTCTGCGGAGGTCCTTTCGCGAATATGTGAAGCAACGCTTACCCAACATAGAAGAATTTACAAAGTACTATTCAATTATTGTTCTTGTAGATTATTGTGCGCTAAAAATAGGCTCAGACTTCTTTCCAAAGTAGATAGAAGCGTTGCTGAATTTTGGAAAAATCACGCATCTCTAAATTCTACTGGCCATAACTTCCTTCGGAATAAGAATATTTTGAATCCGAAAACAGCGCCTTGCTCAGCTCATCAAGGCGAATCTTCTCATATACAGCATGTCCTTGATATTTCGATTTCAGTATTCTTGAATCTTTCTGAGGACGTCTTTTCGCGAAGGTGTAAAGCGGCGGGCATTGTCCCGAGTACATTCCAGCAAGGATATTTTGATAGCACTTTTTCTGTAGATTATGATGTGCCAAATAGTAGCCGCAGGTTTCTTTTCAAAGGAAATAGAACGGCTGGTGAATTGTGGAAAAATCTTGTCGTCCCAAATTCTACTCGCCATATCCGCAGGATACGAAGCTATCTTGCTAAGCAGATGTGAGTTTCGAAATCAGCAGGTCGCATAAACTCTACGAGCAAGTTTTCCGATATGTTCGGGTTATTCCATTTTTTCTCGATTTACGCTCCGGAAGCTCGCCGATGGATTTTGGTCAAAATGTTGATGCTCTTGAATTGTAAGGAAACTTCGCTTATAGAGGTTTTCGAACACGCTCTTTACGAAAATCGTGGTCTTTGAGGATTACAGGGTCTTTTTGGAGAGATACGGTGAGGTGACTGTAACTGCATCACGAAAGCCTGTAACTTTGGCCGCACTTTTCGCGTATCTGTCAGGAACCTTGCCTGCTTGCTTTTCTCAATCAAAGTTACTAGGAAATGTACTATCGAAAGGTGCATTACTCAGGCTCCAGTCTGTGAAATTCGCCGAGTTACGAGCCTACGAAAACATGTCATCGTAAATTTTGCCCAAAATGCAAAGATCGCATATTTCGTCGAAATCTCTCCGTGAGTGCTTGTATGACGCTCGCTGCAGATATTATGTTCGCTTCGTCCAACCACTCCCACTGTATTGTATACTAGCTGACATACCCGGTCTTGCCCGGTTCATGAGCCACGGAGCCAGAGGAAGGAGGGGGAGCGCATAAAATATGTGTTCTGCTTCAAAACCTACGCCTTTCCATCTTTCATACCCAGGGCTCGGCACGAGCTGGCACCAGGGAAATTTCAAAACGAAATCCAGTCCCGTTTGATCTTGAACTCGTACGAAGTCCCCCTTGACCTATTTTGAAGACCCGTCATTGATTTTAAATTATAGTACGTAGTAGGGTTTTTATGCATGCTAATTACATGAAACAACTTTTCACAGCTTTTTGAGCTTTTCAAGTGGTTGACTCACATCCCGAGAAGCAGAAAAAGCCGACTTTTCCATTGCGGAGCAGACCGAGTAGTTTTCAAAGGCTATAAAACGCTGAAAAGATAACATTATGAAACTGTTTCTTTTCTATATGTAAACTTTCACGGTGTAGATACATTTCATGTAAAAAAGTACGAAACTTATGTGAGCAAAGTGTCGGTGCCAGCTCAGCTGGCACCCAGCTGGCACGGTGCCAGCTAATTCAGAAAAAAGTTCAGCACAGCTTTTATTCACATAGTTTTCATAAATTTTTAGCCATACTTCGGGTCCCCCAACGTACATGCACACATCAAATTTGGTGTCATATGCATTTTGGCTGAAAACAAACCCTTTGTTTGTTTGATGGACAGCATGCCGGTGGCATGCCGGCGGCATTCTTGCGGCTCTTCTCCGCTCCGGACCCCGAAAAAACGATATCTCCTTTACTTTCGTCCAAAAAACGATATCCAGCGACCCGGTGCCAGCTGTGCCGAGCCCTGTTCATCTCGCTTCCATCTGGTGCATTTCTGCTTCCTCCCTTTCCTTCTCCGGTCCCGCGGCCTATATCCACCTGCACGGTGCGTTGTAATTGCAAATGCCTCAAAGCAGCAGCATCTGGAAATACCGCATCCTTCTGACCGCAAAATGAGAATGAGCTTGTCTGCCATTGTTTACACCAAAATGTGCATTGGGTATGATAGTAGTTGATAAGACTTCACTTTCATTGCAAAGTGGCGAAATCAATAAATCAATAGAAGGATCCAGCAAATCGCTTCAAAAAGTAACCTAAAACCATCTAGGGGGTCGAAAACATATATATGCAAAATTCCAGCTCAATCGGTTCACGCGTGAAGGAGTCTATAAAAAAACATACGGTCAAGAGTTGCACAAACTTTGAGTTTTATATATATACCAGTGCGTCACCTCCGCTTCGCGGAGGTTCGCACTGGCTCCCTATCCGTATGCCTTGCTCATGAGAATGACTTTGAAACTCACCACGCGATGCTGAGCATCACAAATTGATCGTAAACAACTGTTCATTCATGAAGCATCTCCATGTAAGATCGGTAATTTTCAAAAAAAGAAATTTGTTGCAAGGAAACAAATGCGAATTTGAAAGGATTACTGACTGATTTATTCTAGTTTGATGATCGTCATAAGGATAGTAGTCACCAAGGGCTACATTTTGGTGCAAAAATCTTTTCATTTTTTTAAAGTAAAACCTTGGCAAAGCGACTATCTACACGCCCATCAATTTTTGGCGCTGTTTTCGCAGAAAAGCAAACTTTCTGAGCACTTTTTGGGCAAGAATTCATGGCGCGCGAAGTTACTTGTCAGGCAAATCATAACTTTGCGAAAAGTCGAATTAGCGACCCAGTTTTGCGTGCCAAAAGGCGCGTGGACCCGTTTGACGCGCAAATTTTGAGGGAGCCGCTTATCGAACCGGTTCGTCCTTGTGCATGGTGAGCCTACACGCTGGCACGGTAAGTTGTGCAAAATTGCAGCCCGATAGCTCAGTTGCAGCTTCCTCTATAAATTTCGTGACAGACAGATTTAAAGACAGACACACACACACAAAAAAACAGACGGCCCT